CCCGGGAAGAGCGCAATGATGGTGCCAACTTGGGCCAGAAGCAACGTCCTCCACAACTAGACTGAAGAACAAACGGACAGCAACTTGTCTGTTCCCCTTCCCCCAATTCCCCAGCACTGTTCCAATCCCCCAATTCCCCAATAAAAATCTTTAAAAAAAAAAAAAAGCAGGCAGGATTCAGACCCAGCTCTGGAGGCAAGAGCAGCTGGGAGGAGTTCCAGCATGAGTTCTTGCTGGGTTCATGGACCTCCATTGATGAGCTTTAGGGGACCCATGAACCTCATGAATTATATGCAAATGTGTGCATGCTTAAGGAGGGGTGGGAAGGGAAGATCTATAACTTCAGTATATTCTCAAAGAAATCCCTGATAACAATCCCTAGTGCAATGCCTGGCAGACAAAAGACGCTCAATAATATCTGGTGAATAAGTGAACTAAAGAATGAATGAATGAATGAATGAGTGAATGAATGCATGCGCCTCCGTGCCCTAGGAGACACCACATGACCTGGTGTCTATCTGTATCTTTTGAGATGGTGAAAGCCATCCAGGGACCTGAGCCCAATCGTCCTCCAGGCCCTTTCTCCCAGTCCCAGAGGCTACAGCCAGGTGTTATGATGAGTTCCAAAGCCATGTTTCCTCCTCTTTCTCCCCACCTCCGCTACTGACAATGACCAGACAGATGCGGGAGTTGTGCAACTCAGATAATGAAGCTTTATTGAATGCCAAAGGGGGCAAGGGTGAAGCAGGGCTCGGGTGTGAAGTGCTTGGGGGTGGGAGAGGCATCTTCCTAGTGAGATCTATGCCCACACGGGGAAGGTGCTTCCTAGGCCTAAGCAATGCTGAGGCAGCCTTAGTTCTTGCTGCGAAGGACCTGCTCGTGGGTGGACACCACCTTGCCATCGTGCACATCCACGACCTTGGTGCGGATCTGACGACTGGAGGAGGTCACTGGGGAAGAGGAGAGAGAAGGCCTTACCAGCAGTGGACAGGCAGTGGGGAAATCAGAAGTGGGGAAGCCAAGGAGTTGAGGGGACTTAAATGATCTGTCTCCCTGCTGCCCTCTCCCCTAATTATCTCTTTATCCACCGCTCTTGCCCCAGCACTGATATTATCAGTACATTTCTTTCAGGTCAGGGCTCCCTAAGGTCAGAGGCGGAGCCTGTGTCCTCAGAACAAGCCTCCTAAGAACTCAAATGGAACTGGTTCAGTCTCTCTTGACCCAAATAGACCAAGATTGAGCCATGTCGAGCCCTGTCCATGGTACTGACCACAAGCACCATGAGGTCTGCCATAGACACTGGGTGACAAAAGTAAAAAATGGCGGCCACCAGCTCCTAGCCCTAAGAAGGGCTTAGAAAGTGGTTTATAAGGGATAGTGGGTGACGAAACTAGTTCAACTTCTCAAGAAATCCCTACTCAACTTTCTAGACCTGCTGGGAGACTGGGGGTGGTCCTGAGCCCAGGTTTGATGAGGAGTAAGGTCTTACCGTCTCTGGATGACTGAGAGCCAGAGGAGAACTGGGAGGACGAGAGGCTGTGAAGACAGAAAGGGGCAATATCATTAGAAACATGGTGGAGGGAGGGTGGGCAGTGAGTGAATAGTGGGGAGATGGACTGGGAGGGAGGGCAGGACACTCACTGGGCGTCCTCGCCCTCCAGCAGGCGGCGGTAGGTGGCGATCTCCTGCTCCAGCCGTGTCTTCACGTCCAGCAGGATCTTGTATTCCTGGTTCTGCTGCTCCATGTCGCAGCGCAGCTGGGCCAGCTGCTCCTCCACGCTGCCGATCATCTCCTGGATCTGAGCTAGCTGCATGCAGTAGCGGCCTTTGGTCTCCTCCAGGCTGCTCTCCAGGGATGCTTTCTGTGAGGGAGGGAAAGAGGATCAGGAATCACTGAGTTGGTCATTCCCTGTCTCCTAGTCCTGAGCCCACCCCAGGCCTGGCAGCGCCCCATACCATGCTGAGCTGGGACTGCAGCTCGATCTCCAGGTTCTGCACTGAGCGCCGGAGCTCTGAGATCTCGCTCTTGCCACTCTGCACCAGCTCGCTGTTGGTGGCCACTTCGCGGTTCAGCTCCTCTGTCTGTAGAAAAGAAAACATCATTCACCCTGGAAGTTCCTGGAAGGGAGGTCTCCTGGGTCCCTTCCACCCTGAACGACACCCACCTTGCTGAAGAACCAGTCCTCAGCATCCTTGCGGTTCTTCTCCGCTATCTTCTCGTACTGGTCACGCATCTCGTTCAGGATGCGGCTCAGGTCCACACCAGGGGCGGCGTCCATCTCCACGTTGATGTCTCCTCCAACCTGGCCTCTCATGGAACTCATCTCCTGCGCAACCAAAGAACAGTCCCCAGTCAGGAGCCTCACTCTGGCAGCCGATTGGGATGCCCCAGTCAGAGGTGTTCCTGGCATGAACGTTGCCCTCGACAATCTCAATTCTGTCTCTTTCCTCCCAGCTTATCTTCTAAGCAGGCTTTTCTGTTTAACCCCCACCTCCTCGTGGTTCTTTCTCAGGTAGGCCAGCTCCTCCTTCAGGCTCTCGATCTGCATCTCCAGGTCAGCTCTGGCCAGGGTCAGCTCATCCAGCACCCTGCGCAGGCCGTTGGTGTCAGCCTCCACGCTCATGCGCAGGTTCAGCTCCGTCTCGTATCTGGAATGATCCGAAAGAAAAGGAATGAAACATCCATCCTGACCACACTGAAGGCTTTGTTCTCTTCTCCCTGCAGCTTCTTCCCATAGCTGGCACCTTTGAGTGGTTTAGGGAGCCAATCTTGAAAATGACATGGCTGGACACAGTGCCCATTGATTGCTCAAATCTGAACATTCCTGGGGGTGGGGCAGGGGATAAGGCAGTTCATCATGCTACATAATTCAGGGAAGGGAGATGTTGCTAGTTTGAGCCAACCAATAGCATGCAAGGCCTCTAAATATGACTACCTCCTGAACTTCAGGGGCACTGGGAAAGCGGGAAGCGGCTCTCCCTAAAACAATGGCTTCCAAACCTAGCTGTGGATCAGAATTACCCAGGTAGCCTGTTAAAAATAACTGAATCAGAACTCCACGAGTGGGGCCCAAGAGTCTCGCTTATATTTTTACAAGCACCCTAAAGGGTTTTCACGTGGCCATCCTGGCACTTATCGGCTCTGTTTAGGGAACATTGCTCCAAAAATGCCCCACTCTGGGAAGACTGGACATTCTGGGCCACCACCGCAAACTCACTTGGTGCGGAAGTCATCTGCAGCCAGGCGGGCATTGTCAATCTGCAGGAGGACATTGGCATTGTCCACGGTGGCCGTGAGGATCTGCAATGGAAAGGGCACAGGTCATTGGTCAAATGGACATCCCTCGCCAGGCTTCGCTGCAGCTGGCATTGGGCTTTTGCTTTCATGCTCTAGCCTGAGTCCTCCCTCCTCACCACAAACCTTCGCCACAGCAGCCTACAGGGTCACCTCCGGTAGTGCAGCTTTGACCCAAGACTTTGCAGACTCAGGGTCAGCAGAAGGGGTAGAAAAAGCCCTGGCCTTAGAATCACAAGCTCTTGAGTTCTGATCCTGGTTTTGCCACCGACTTGCCGTAAAACCTGAGATGGGTCTCAGGGCCTCAAATCCCCTACCGACAGATGAGACCCAATTCTCGATCTGAATTCCCTCTCTGCACAAGCCAGGCCTGGCAATCCTCCACAGGCACATACATTTCTTTGTAAGCCAGGAGAGCATGGGACCTCAACTGAGGCTTTCCCAAAAGATGAGATCCAGTTGGCACAGGCGATTAGAAAAAAGGAAGCAGCAGAAAAGAAAGGAAAAAAAAAAAAAGATGACTGAACCCTGGATTAGCTGGAGTTCCCTCCCTAATCATTTCATTTCCCTAATCCACGTGAGGCATCAGAGCCAGACACCAGTGGAAGCAGGATCAGCAGGGAGGGCTCCTGGGGTGATGTGGGAGCAGGAAGCAGGGGGCTAGAGTCAGATGACAAGAACTTCCAGGTTCTCTCCTGCGCAGAGTATATAAAGTGGGCCATCACTGATGTCTGTCTCTGTGTGTTTTCTATGCCCGCCTGGTTGTGAGGAGGGGCCAGCCAGTGCCAGAGCACATGGGCGGCAGCCGCCACAGCTCAGACTAATGAGCTAATGAACGGTTTGGGTGTCTAGCCTGGTCCCGTTACAGCCTTGCTCCTCCCCTGTGCTGGAGAACGAACAGGTAGCGGCCTCCTGTACTGGCAGGTGGGAGACAAGCGTTCTAGCCTCAGCCCTGCCGTTAATTTACTGTGTGCCCTTGGGCCAATCACAGCTCCTCTCAAAGCTTCAACTTCTTCCTTTGTAAAACGTAAGGGTAGGAATTCCTGGTCTCACATGGTCGGAGGGCATGAGCAAGGCAGTAGAGGAAACCATCTTGCCACTGACCAGCTCTGTTGGGGGCACCCAGGGCCAGAGGAAGGGGTCTTCCTTGTCTAGGAATCTAAAGGTGCCAATAACGTGAGGCATCTATTCCTTCAGAGTCAGGTTGTGGGATGGCACCTCCTGCTGCCCAGTCCACACACCTTGTTCCTCAGGTCCTCGATGGTCTTGAAGTAGGGGCTGTAGTCCCTGGTCTCAGCGGGCCGCTGCTTCTGGTACCAGTCACGGATCTTCACCTCCAGGTCGGCGTTGGCCTCTTCCAGGGCGCGCACCTTGTCCAGGTAGGAGGCCAGGCGGTCGTTGAGGTTCTGCATGGCCACCTTCTCACTGCCCACCACGAGCCCATCACCACCGGCAAAGCCACCACCCAAACCACCACCCAAGCCACCACCCAAGCCACCACCCAAGCCACCACCGTAGCCACCACCGAAGCCACCACCGAAGCTACCGCCATATCCTCCTCCAAAGCCACTACCCAGAGCCCCACCAAAGCTGCTGCTACTGCTGAAGCCGCCACCATAGCCGCTCCCCAGTCCGCAGCCCCCCCCAGAGGAGTAGCGGGAGGAGGAGACAGACAGGCCCCCGTAGGCGCTAGGGGCCCGGCAGGACCCTCCAGCCAGGACGGAGGACATGCGGCTGGAGCCACCACCGATGCCACAGGAGCCCTTCATGGAGCTGGAGGAGGTGAACTGGCGGCTAACGGTGGTCATGGTGCCGAGGAGGGAGGTAAGTGAGCAAGTGAGTCGGCAAAGAAAAAAGTGCTCAGGTAAGTTGGAAAAGGATGCAGGTGCTTTATACTCATGAGTAGGGGGCGGGCCTGGCATTTTCCATTCCCCTTGGCTTTCATCACCCACAGGCCAGCGCCAACTCCCAGCCAGATCCCTCCTCTCCTCCGCCTCATCATGTCTGTCATATTTTACTGGAAACTCATTGTTTGGGGTGTTTTGGGTTTCTTGTCCCGCCAGGCGTGATTCACAGGAGAAGGTGTGGGCCTGCAGGCTACACTTTCCCATCAGGCCCTGGGAGCTGTAGCCCTTAGGAGCCCGCGTGCTGGGCTCAGCCAGCAAGCAGGGAGCAGGGCCTCTGTACCATAAACCTATGTAACTAGGCGAGCCTTTGACATTCACTTAGAGGTAGTCCACCACTCCAGGAGGCACCTGGCTGGAGAAACACCAGCATGGCAAGGTCACGTCAGGCACAGAGGTGCCCCTCAACTTTACCACCTATACAAAGGAATGAGAAGGTCTTGGGGATCTCCCGGGTCTGACCCGCTAGGCTGTGCTAAGGAGCCTATCATATCCCTGAAATGTGCCCAGTCAGTCAGGTGGCTCAGGCTTCCACCCTGACAGCCCCATTGAAGGGAAATCCAGGCAGCTCTCCCCGCCCTGGGCAAAGACCCTAAGATCCTCCGCACACCTGCAGAATGGCCCATGGCGCTGGCTTCCCATCGTGGCCAAGGCCAGGTGGTGTCACAGGCACAGCCTGTGAGAAACATTGGGAAAAGAGCATGCAGTCAATGAGTCCTGGCTCTGCCAATTACTGCTGTGTGACCCAGGACCTGACACTTCTCTGAGCCTCAGTTTGTTCATCTGTAAAGTGGGAGTAAATACCATCCACCCTGCCTACTTCTGAGTCAGCTCCCAGAATCCAACTTGGCAGTGTATGTGAAAGGGTGTTGTAAGCTGACTGCGGCACAAAGCTGGTTAACATTGTTGTAGCCCAGTCCGGGCTCCAAGGCGGGGTACAGCGGCACCCCTGGAACAAGCTTGGAAGAGCCTTATTTGCGTCCATCCTCAGGTGTCTTCACAGGCCCCTAGGACAGCTCTGGTGGGAGGGGCTGCCTCAGACACCCATATTGGAGCCTCTTGCGGAGCTGGCCCAAGGAGTGCAATCGCCTGGGAGTGGACAGCCCCTGAATCCTGAGGCCCCAAGAGTCAGGGGACATTTCCAGGGGTCCATTTGGTTCTGCCTTGGAGGTTTGTATATCAGGACCTCAGCTATCCCGCATCTTCCAGACAACCTGCAAAGGCACCCCCTCTGGCCACGCCCTGCCTTCCCGCCAGCCCCTCAGCTCCACGACCCCGGGAGGCATGTTGGGAAGAATGTGGTCGTGTCTGGGGCTGCCTAACAAGTCCCATCTTCCCAGACAGGCCCCGACAGCCCCTGCTGGAGGCTCCAACGCTCTTTGCTCTTCAGAGACTCAACAGCTCCCAGAAGCAAAGGGGAGCCTCCTTCTCCCCCCCCCATCCTCACTGCCATCAAAGCAGACGTCAGGGAGCCCCTGTCCCGCCCCCCCCCCAGGTTTAGGAGCTCAGAAGACAATGCTGAGATAGACACTTGAGGCTGTGGGCTCCCCAAATCTGCCGAGCCAAGGACTCGCAAGGATGTGAGTAAGCGAGGGCCCCACCCCTGACAAACACTCCTAATCTCCTTCCAGAGGGCAGTCTCCCACCTGACCCAACCCTACAATTCCCCTGCGAGAGGCAGCCAGCACTTTGGCTGAGGGACAAATGCTTTTGTTAGGAGACATATTGCTGTCAGCTGTGGATTGGGGAGTGGATACTCACCGGAGAAAGAAAGCAACATCAGGAGGGACCCAGGGAGCAAAAGTGGGTGCAGAGCCCAACACCGGCTTTCTCTGTGCCGCCCACCACCCTGCAAGAAACCCCGGAGAGACGCCCTGGAGCATGGGACACAGGAAAAGCTAGCTCTCCTTCCCTCCTCACCTGATTCATGGAACCCAAAACAGGCTCCCTCCTTGGCCCCCTCCAAGGGGAATTCCAAAAGATAAAGAGGGTAGGGATCCAATGACATGTAAACTCACGCACACAATCTAAGGAGAGACCTGTGCCAGCCCTCCCCACCCCCACAGACCCTGGAGCCCCAGCGTGGAATACAAGTCTGATCTTCTCCCCCAAACAGGGATTAGAACCCTGGCTCAGATCCTGAGGCCAACCCCCCTCTCACTGCAGACATGGAACTAGGCACCAATTGCCCAACGTGGTGCTCGTGACATTTTAAGGAGAGGCAACTTTCTAGAGCAACAAGGGTTAATGGGATGGGGGGTAGTCTGTGGGGGCCTGGAATACCCCCACCTCTGGATTCCTAGGCAGGCTTTGTGTGGATGCCATTACCTGAGCCTCCTCCAGCTGCCCCAGGAAGGAGGGGTAAAGGAGGAATCTGGGAAGGTGCCTCTTGTGGTCGGTGAGTCTCCCTGCACCAGCCTGTGGGGAAACCAATGCCAATCCACACAGGTGAAGCAGCGGGACACAGAGAGAGAGAGAGAGAGAGAGAGAGAGAGAGAGAGAGAGAGAGAGAGAGAGAGACAGAACCTGCATTGTGTGCTGAGGGCCAGGCAGGGCGCCAGGGCATGGGATCCTAAGGAAGGAGGGGTCCTCGGGATATCCCGGTCTCAGGAGGGAGGCACAGCCCCTGCCTTCGGAGCTCAGTCTAATGGAAGAGACTGTCCCTGCCCTTAGGAAACCCCCAGCCTGAGAGGGAAGAGAAGATATACTTCAAAATTACTTAAGATATGAACAAATGTAAGAAAAGTGCAATCCATATGTATTTGTTTCCTGGGATTGCCATAACAAATGACCACAAACTGGGTGGTTTAAAACAATAGAAAGTTATTCTCTTACAGTTCTGGGGGCCAGAAGTCTGAGATCAGGGTGCTGGCAGGCCACCCTCTCTCTGAAGATGCTAAGGGAGGTCCCTTCGTGACTCTTCCAGCTTCTGGTGGCTCCTTGCGTTCCTTGGTTTGTGGCAGCAAAACTCCAATCTCTGCTTCCGTCTTCACAGGGCCTTCATGTCTGTCTCTATGTGTCCTTTTCTACCTCTGAGAAGGACACTCATTGGATCTAGCATTCACTCTAATCCAGGATGATCTCATCTCAATTCTTACCACAATTACATCTGCAAAGACCTATCTTCAAATAAGGTCACCTTCTGAGGTTCCAGGTGGACACGAATTGGAGGGGGACATTATTCAACCCGCTACCACCATCTAACAGACTGGCAGCTATCCACGTTGCAGAGGCAGTGGTGAAATTTCGTGGAGAGACGGTATGCTCAAATGTGGGCAGGGCCACTCTGGAAGGCTTCTGGGAACTGCTTTTTGCTCAGGAATATAAGGGTGCTGGGAGTTGGCAGCAGGAAGGCACAGAAATCTCAGGTCTCTGGTCCATACTTCCCACCACCCAATTTCTCTGGTTCCTTCACAGATAGAAAACTGCACTGGGAGAGATGGGGTTTATTATTATTATTATTATTATTATTATTATTGTTATTTAACTTTTAATTTGAAATAATTTTAGACTTCCAGAAAAAGTTGCAAAAGTTGTACAGAGTTCATGTGCATCCTTCACACCGCTTCTCCTAATATGAGCCTATCATATTAACATTGTACAGTGATCACAACCAATAAATTAACACTGATCCAATGCTATGAATTAACAACAGGCTTTATTTAAATTTCTCTAGTTTTTCCATTAATGGTCCTTTTCTGTTGTAGGATTCAATCCAGGGTTCCACATTCCATTAGTTGTCATGTCTCCGTAGTCTCCCCCCATCTGTGACAGCTCCTCAGTCTTTCCTTGTCTTTCATGACCTTGACACTTTTGAAGAGTACTGGTTAGTAGCTATTTTGCATAATATCCCTCCGTTTGGGTTTTTCTGGTATTTTCTCATCATCAGGTGGAGGTTATGCAGTTGAGCAAGAAAAGCACAGAAATGGTGTTGTGTCCTTCCCAGGGCATCATCTCAGGCATATAAGGTTGGTGATGTTAACCTTGTCCGTGGGCTAAGGGTGGTGCCTGATAGATTTCTCCACTGTAATGTTACTATTTTTCCCATTGAAATTAATAAATACTTTGAGGAAGATACTCGGAGGCTATGCAACTACCCTGTTTCTCCTTAAACTTTCACCCACTAATATTCGCATCCATCAGTGAAGGGAAAGAGCTCTTGACACCCAAAAATAGCCTCATCTGCCTGGACTCCTTCAGGGAATCTGGCTCTTAGGAGAGACTTGAAGGGGAGGGGTGTCCAGGCCCAAGAAAAGCTCTTTCAGTCTAGCCCCAAAGCTGGACTGGGTCTGCACCCTAACACACTCCCGTGCAGGCTTCCCTTGAAGAGACACCATCTTTCTCTAATCATTGATGTCTAGAGTCTTTTACTAGGCCTCTGTCAGCCCCAGGGTAAAGGAGGGGACAGGCAGGGTCCTTGCTATGTCACAGGTAGGAAGCCTGAGATCCAGAGAGGCTCATAGTCAAGTGACCAGTTGGACCCCTCTCTGTGATTCTCAGACCCCCAGGGTCTGCCCAGGGCTGGGCTTCTCCTCTTCTCCTGACAGAGTCCTGACTCCCCTGCCTTCTCTTCCCTGTTCCTCCACACCCTCCCCTTCCCAGTCCCCTTCACTTGGTTCATCCCTCTCCCCACCAAGTCCCAGCCACCTGTGTGTAGCCAGGGTAAAGCCTCCTAGGGCTGAGGGCTGTCACTTGTAGAGACAATGGACTGGGTCTGAGCTGACCTGGATCTCAGCTTCTGCTGCCAGAAAGGTAGGGTAGCATGGGGGCTGGGAGCAGGCAGGATTGCAAGCACAGGAGGCAATCAGGGGCCCGGAGCACCTCCCGAGGCCTGGGTTCCCTTTCCCCTAGAAAGCTCTGCCACCAGCTGGTTTCCCAAGCCAGCCAGCTCATCTGGGTCAAGTGTCCTTGTGAGAGCCTGGGCTGACACAATAGATG